TAAGAATGTTTCGATAGAATAAATCCCGTCGTCGTATTCCTAAAAATGAATTTAGATAACCAAACATCGAAAAGTAGTAACCTTGCCCTATAGAAGAAATCCCGCTCTATCGGATAGACCGCGACGTTTTGAAGGATGCCAATGAAGAACACTGTTTCGACCCATTTAGGTCAGTAAGATGATAGTATGTTGAGTGACTCACGTGGCAGGGTTTCCTGGATGCAACCAACACGGGATTGGACACTCGAGTAGTCATGTCCAAGCGGTGAGAAAAAGAGACCAATGCCAATCTAATTCATAAGGATGAAGATCCGACGTGCTGCCGTGAGCGTCGAGACGTACCGAAATGCCAAGAACGCTCCCAACCCGCATCACTTGCAGAGAATTTTGTCGGAGAAATGCCAGAACGCCACGTTTCAGCAGGACCGGCAGCGCGGAGGTGATCGATAACATCTTCCTCTCGTATCCCCTGAAGTTAGTTAACGAAAGCCCCACGTGCTTCTCGGATAGCGGCGATACACTGCCATTCTCCAGCTGACGATCCTTGAAAGCTTTCACAAGCTTATTGACCTTTGCTCGGCCAAGTTCCTCTTGTTCGGCTTCTCGTGTATCAACAGAAACAACGTCCAACGCGAAATCCGCAGGATTCATCATAGAAGGGCACTCAAATCCAACCGAGGACATATAGTCAAGCATCTCGTTCGCAGGACCGGAATATGCCACCCGGCCACCCTTCGCTAGAAGTAGCACGTTACCGAAGCGCTTGTATAGTTCGGAGGAGCTCTGATGAAGAGTCGTTATGATCGTCCGACCCTCCTTTGCCAGTTGCGCAAGAACATCCAGAATCGACGCCGCTGTGAACGCGTCTAGTCCTGATGTCGGCTCATCCAACCTGGAAAGTAATGAGTAAATCTCATCGACGACAACAGTAAACTACTCACATCAGAACCTGAGGCTCTGTAAGAACCTGAACAGCAATACTCACCCGCCGTTTCTCCCCACCAGAGATCCCTTTCAACAACTCGTTCCCGATCAGTGTATGACGACAGTCTTTGAGCCCCATCTTCAGCATCACCTCATCTGCTCTCTGCCGTTTCTCCTCCTTGGACATGCTGCTTGGTAGTCGCAATGAAGCAGCAAACTGTAGCGTCTCGCGAACGGTGAGATATGGTAGGAGAGCGGAATCGTCCTGCGTCACATACGAACAGAGGGTGCTCATGACCTCTGGCTTAGCCGGTACACCGTTCAGCGTCATTGTCCCCCCAGCAACATATGTCGTCTGGAGGGTCGACTGAAGACGCTGTGCCATGAGATTGAGCAGAGAGGACTTCCCACTTCCTGAGGGGCCCAAGATAACGTTGACTTTGCCGGCCTCGAAACATGAAGTGATTCCCTGGAGGATTTTGATATCCTTTCCTCGCCGTGGGCGAACCTTGAGAGTGTAATCCATAAGGTCGACATCGATACCCGCGATGCTGTTTGGAGTAAGTCCTGACACAGGGACATTTGATATATGCCCAGGTCCATCCTCCTGGTGTTTGGTCCCAAGCATCGTAATATTAACTTGAAAGAGATGGAGGAAGAGAATTTGGCCAAAAAGATACAGGACAATAACCGCAAGGATCGCGCATATCGGGATGACAGTCCAAGTCATGTCAGGCACAGCGAGAGATTTGATAATGAAATCGCCTCGGTAAGCAATGCAGTTCGGGTCTGTCCTCGCATCACCGCCAGGACAATTGAAAAAGCGACCTTCGAATTCGTTGTAAACCAATGTGGTGAATGCGTAGAACTACAAGAAGTTTAGAACCACTGAGTAGGTAGAAGCGCTATGTACTCACGACTGGCGAAATCCATTTTGTCCACCGCATATAAATCGGGATCGCATCAGCTTGTATGAAGAATCCACACGGGTACGTATGTAACATGAACGCCGTGTTCGCGATGATCGTAGCCTTGGCGAAATCCCGCGTCATAGCTGTCGCAAACCCTGCAAAGGTGACTGCGATGTAATGATTCAGAAGGGCGATGGCGAAGTAATAGAAGAATCGATCAGCGGAAGGTGCAAGTCCAACCATGAAGTAGCTGATGGCGGAGAACAGAAAAGGGACGATGATATCTTCCAGTACGGCGTGCGCGGAACGATAGCTGAGAACCCAAGGTACGGCGCCAACGACACCCTCGCTGTGCTCTCTATCAAAGATAGGAAGGTCTATCATCGTCAGACGATATACCTCGTACATCATTACCAGGTACTCTTGCAGCCCTACTGATGTATACAAGACGGCCTCCCGCGTCCTTATGCCCGATATTGAGTCCGGGATATGGTAGAACGCTATTCCGACGAACAACCCCATGAGAACAGCTTCCATCCAAGCCGCAGCCATGCCAAATGGATCGCGGACGCTTGTCTTCAGTTTCCGAGAGATCAGAGCGAGAATAACACGGCCGGCAGGTGCCTCGTCGCATTTATCGAAACGAGCAACTGCCAATTCATGCTTGATTGCTGGAAATCGGACAGCCGATTCAAACTTCCACACCGCGATGAGCCTATTGACACGACGTCGCGAGGCCTTCTCAGCGTCACTTGTGCGAACGTCGACGACAGCAACATCGATCAGATAGTCTGCAGGATTCACGTGAAGCTCTAATGGATGGACGAGTTGCTCGAACCACGGAATCGCCCCCGAAGAAACGCCGGTGTAAAGGGCGTGCCCTTGAGAGAGTATCATCACCCTATCGAGCATAAGGAACGCTTCAGAGCGAGGTTGGTGCAAGGTCATGATGACTGTCCGGCCCTTCTGCGCGAGAGACTTCAAAGTCTTCACAAGGTGAAAGGCACTTGTCGCATCGAGACCAGTCGTTGGCTCGTCCAGAAATAGCACAGAGGGGTTTCCCAGCAGCTGAACACCGAGACTGATACGTCTCAGCTCCCCACCGGAGCAACCCCTGCGATGAAACCCATCCCCAACATGCGTATTCGCACAATCCTTTAGTCCGAGTTCGAGAATGATGTCGTCGACGAGCCGAACGCGTTGCGCGCTGCTCGTGGATGCAGGGAGGCGTAGATTTGCGGCGTATGTGAGTGTTTCTCGAACTGTAAGAGTTGGAAGAAGGGAGTCTGTCTGAGTAACGTATGCATGTGATATGCTAGATAGAGACGTCGATCCGTTGTAAAACCGTTCTCCTGCAACACAGAGGTTACTACCGCGCATTCGTTCAGACAAAACATTGAGCATCGTCGTCTGGAAGGACGCATCAGAGTACACTCAGGTAATTAATACTATCCGACGTACCTTTCCGCTACCACTGCTCCCGAGAACGCCTGTAAGAGTACCACGAGGAAAATCGGCATCGATATTGGTAAGAAGGCTTTTCACCCGGCCAGCCTCCAGATCGGAAGTATTTTTCTTGAGGCTGGGAAGACGCTCCTTCCATTGCGGCGCGCCTTCCACCTGAACAGAAAGGTTCCGAACCTGTACGTCCACCGGTGTGACAGAGGAGAATGAAAGTTTCCCTTCGTGCCACCTTAATACATCAGTTTTACTGATGGGCATGGTGGTGGAGGGAGAGGAGAGACAGAAAATCGGCGTCCAGTGTCCGACAATAAAGGCATGCAGCGGGTGGTAGCCTCAAGTCTCATGTCCCACCTTTGTTTCTTGCGGAAGGCTTGCACGTTTCGGTGAAACGAGACTAGCCCCTGCAGGACTGCAAGGATGATTGACAACCAGACAGTAACATCGAGTCAATCTAGCAACAGTAATTTTCACCACCTGTCGCGCTAGTCTGAAGTTGGTGAACGGGGCTAAGACGTCGAATAGCAAGGGTTTCGACCAGAGAAGCTCACCATCAGACGCTCAGACGCGAAATCCCGTCAAGAGAGGTGCATTGCTTCTTTTTGTTTGCTACTTATCCGTGTCCCGGCCGATGTTGGCAGGACAGAGTAGAGTCGGAAAGGGCGGGCGCAAATCTGGATTTAATCAGAAGAATCCCACGAAGGGAATTTGACGTAAATAAGGGAGGTGGCTGGAATATCTTTGAGAACAGTAGGGTGTCGAACTTTGTGAAATGTGGGTTAGTCCTTCGCAGCGCAGTTTGAAATAGTGCATTGTTCAAAGGTTTTGACGTTGGCATGAAATGGCCTCGGTATAGATAAGAAAGACGTAGACGTAGACTTCAACTGTTCATTGAATAGGTACAGACGTGTATGCGACATAGAGCTATCATTGGAATAATCCTACAGAACATTAAGAAAGTCTTGAACCGGAAGTGAAGATGACATACTATGCCACGTTCTTCTGAGAACACACCATACGTCCAGGTGCTTGTCCGACTCATAATAATCCACTACTGCGATGTGCGCCTAGCACTATCAATCGATTTTAGCTGGAATAGCGAGACTTCGGTTGGATGACGTACTCGGCTTTCGAAAGAGCCTCCATAAACGCAACTTCCTGGGCCTTAGCTAATACTGGGTCAGCTCTCGAGGCGGCAATAGACGCGCGTATTAGTTTGTTCTTGTTCTCGTTGAGTAGGTCCTCGACGAGTTCTTTTGGGAGAGGCGGAGCCTTGGAAGAGAATGAGGGGGTGCTGGCAATCGGTGCATCGGCAGCCTGTATGACCCTGAGGTGAAGAGCGCGATGTCGAAAGAGGCACGTACAAGCTGAAGGCCGGCATGCGAACTGGAAGAGAGTGAGCAGGGTGAGCGGTGTAGAGAAGCGCACACAGCGTACTCGCTATGGTCTTCTAGTACTGGCATCCTGGGCGGTGCGTAGTGTAGAGGGAGCGAGGATTGTGGGAGAAGGGAAGAAAGGGATGTTTGAGGGAGTTCCACGAATGCCGGGGCATTTTGTAAGGCAGGAACACTAAATCGGTGTGGTCTGTGCGCATGACGTAGACGATGGCGCGTTAATGCGGGGAGCAGGCGAGAGTGTGATTATGAAGTCACGCGTGATTAGCCTGCCCTGGCTATTACTTGGATATGATTAGCACAATGTTAACCGACCTTAGCTCAGCTGGAAGAGCGCGAGACTGTAATTGGATATCTTGAGGCCGTGTGTTCGATCCACACAGGTCGGATTTTTTCTTTCGCCTATATCCGTCTTTTTGCTTTTGATAAACTTGAATCTTGAACAGAGGACCTCGAAGCTTGGAGCAGCCAACTGACTCTGAGGCTGGAGTGCTCAAGCTCCAGGTTTACATGGAGATGTGTTAACCCTGTATCATGATTCAACCCCAGTCATACCTGTCAAGATCCTTTTGTAGAATGTTCATTATGCACATTGCATACTTTTAATGGACCCACCATCTCAAAACAAAGGTACCTAGGACCTGTACGACACCCATTACCAAATTTACAGATGATAAACGCAAACAGAGAGTCCCGCAAGATATCCTAAAAGTTTTCTAAAACCATTGATACGAAAATGAGGACAGTGAGTCGGAAGGTATGACTTCCTCGGCTTCTCCGCAGATTTAAATCGGCCCAAGCTTATACCACCGTGCACACTGATGACTGCATTCGTCGTTCGTTTTTCGTTCCGGATTCTGCTTAGACTGCCAAGTCCTTCGTCGAGCACATAATTATAGGCACTATAATACTTGACAGACGTAATCTACGAGTCAGTTGGAGAAGATTGGACCTGAATTGCTAAGTTCCCAAGAGGAACAGTTACATCTATTTCTACGTCCAAACTTCCAAGTTGTTGGTTAATCTTGTTCAACATATGGGTCATGGAATACACCTTCTTATTACCGAAGCGATACGGTACCAAACCCACCTCGACGGAGTGGACTTTAAGGTGATGTCCGAGCTCATGAACCTCCTCAGGGGCGAAACCAAATGTAGCGTCTACCATATCATCGTCGGTCATATCAACAGCCACTGCAGTCCAAATATCACAGCCATCGCGAAGGTAGGCATTGAGGAGAGGATCCGGTGCATCACCAATGCCCATAATGAGCCCTTGGATATAAGACAATGATTTAGTGAGGGGCAAAATAATCATTTCGTTTAGACACGAGTTGACCTCGGGCGAGTTCCCAGAGGCGATGGATGGCGCATTGTAGTTGTCGATCAAGATAGATATGCGCCGTGATCGTCGAGCAAGACGCTAGAAAGGGAAACTGATGAGTGATTTAAAAACAATGGCCCGAAAACATGACGAACCAGAACACTGCTAAGTGAAGGCATCCCATCCCCGCTAAGAAACACAGGAATGTCTTCAGGCTTAATCACGAGCTCCTGCTGGTATTTCCATAAAAATTTTCTGAACACGGAATTGATGTAAAATCCGAGCGACTGGGGGAAATCTTTCATTGAAGGCACCGATAGATCGAAAGTCAAGACCAAGTCACAATGCGGCAGGACCATGAGCGGGGCATTTGGATCAACGTCAGACACGCGTGTAGACTTGAGTACCGCATCGGAGATGGGTGTCGTCAAATGCTTGCAGTCATAGAAAAACTCCAGCATAGCCAAAAAGGAGGTCTTTCCGAAACCTTCTGGACGGCGAACAAGAGGTAGCTTGCGGAGTAACCGCGATTCCACAGAAAGGTCGATGAGGCATGATGTTTTATCTGCCCAGATGACTCCCGGAGAATAGAGTAGATCATATGCGGAGGGGGCTTTTAATGCGACTCTGTGAAAAACTAGTCAGATATCAGTTATGCGGTGACACAAACAAAACGTACCGGATGTCCAGAACTAGATGTAACATGCCTTTTCTCAGGGCATTGAGTCCAGGCTTAGTATCACCAAACTTGGAGCGGGTGGGGGACCCGGAGTCCGTTACTGAGGATGCGGCTGAACTGAAGGCATGTCCGGAGGATGCGGACATGGTCCCTGTATTTAAGAAATCTGGGTATTTCCTTAGTCACAAGAAACTGAAGCAAAGACTGAGGCTTATGTACCTTACCAAACCTCTTCGGCAACAAAAGAGGCGACTGGACGATGTTGCTCGTCAAAGATAGCTGCCACTTTTTCGTCTAGCTTTACATGCCGAGATCCTGAAGAGATGGGGTGTGGAAAGTGGGCGAGATCATCTGTCCCAATGCATGCGTAATTGCAGAAACTAGGCTTGCAGTGACACTGAACGTCATGAACTTTTCTGGCGACGAGAAGCAAGTCGGAGAACGTGTCACCATAGCACATGAATCTGAATATACGGGATACGGAGCAAAATAGCAAACAGTGAACCTCGACTGACATGATGATGATGGTTGGTGGATAACCGGACGACGATGCAAATTTGATTCGAATTCAAGCAGCTGACTTATCACACGATCACGTGCCGCAACGCTGTAACGCCAGATGACCGAAGCCAAGTGTCACTACTGCACAAAGAGAACTTGCGGAGAAGTTTAGTGTCACGCGAGAGAACTAGAACAATTCTCGTTATGTCCAGCCCCCCTACTAGAGTACAAGGCGTCGTATATATACTGTATAATTTCGACCAAGTGTTCAGTAACGCGTAACGGTGGCCCTTGAACTGAACACTTTTGTAAAGGTGTAACGGGTAACAGGGTCTCTGACTTGCCAGTGCACGACGAATATGGGAATTTTTCGCCGCTGCGCGGCCGGTATCAGCCTATAGTAGATGGACCCTGTATGAACACTGCGCGAACTGAACATTAGGTGTAACGCGTAACATGCTATGAACACTTGGTCGAAATTATACAGTACTACGGTAATGAATATATAAGGAAATGGAATAATAAGTACAAGCAAAGTTAAGTAAGTCTCCAGGATGACGAGAGACGATGGAAATCCCTACACAGCCCACCCACAATCACGATCATGATCATCCCACCGCCACCAAACAGGTTGGCACCAGGCATCGACTGAATCCTGTTTACTTACACAGGACTCACTCGGAATCTGACAACTGCGCTTTCACAAGATGCTCTGCGAAACTTGGAGTTTGGTCGTGCCTCTGTTGACCAGTTGTGTTGATGGCTGGTTGGATCGCTGAACACACATGATATGTTAGGATCGCATCCTGATTTGATAGCAATGATTATCTTCACAGCAGCAAATGAGGGTGTCCACTGTCACTATTTATAATGAGAGGGTTAGATTCTCTGAACTCACTACCCCATTTCTCTTACTCTCCCCTCATGGCAACCCAGGCGGATATTCCACCCGATCTTACCGACGACGAGAAAGCCGGCTTCCGTCGAAATCTTGATGCCTACCTCAACTCCCAAATTCTCGGCGTGCTAATGCATGGTGGGCAGCTCGGACATTTAGTGCCTTGAGATGTAGCCAGTATTGACTCAGTCGGACAGGCATATACACTGGTGTCCTTGCTGTAACGTTGTGGTATATATGTGAGCCAGGATGCATCTCTACTATGACACCCGAGCTGACCTGAGTGGCAAAGTCATCAGTAAACGCAGGTCGATTCGACGAGCCTTGGTTGCCATTGTTGTTCTCCTCTATGCTCTCATTACCATTGGTGTTGTTACCGGTATGTCAAGTACAAGCTCCGCATTCGTCAAAAATGGCCAGAGTTTTTGGACCGTAACCTCGACACTTGAGAGTGTAGGCCGGGCAGTCTATCTTGAGGGGGGCGTTGCCGCTGTCTTGAGTACCATTCTCGCAGACTCATATATCGTGTGTACTATTTCTCTCTGGTGATAGCTATCCATGTCAGTTTAATATATTTCGTCCATAGATTTGGTGCTGTTGGACGGTTTGGGGACGAAGCTGGCTCATTGTTCTGCTTCCAATCCTTTCACTCATTTCTGCAATCGGTAAAGTGTCCGATCTCATTCACCCTTTTCATAGACTAAACTTCTGTATCATAGTTTCGAAAATCATTGATGTTATCCAGGAGTGGAACAGCGCTACTGATTCAGTGTTCTTTACACTCTATGTAGCCTTCAACCTGGCGACGACATTATGGTGCACGCTGTTCATCATATTTCGAATTTTGACTGTCACCGGGGTTAGACGCGGAGCAACAAACCAACTAAGAGTTTTTCACCATTTCATTGAAGTGCTCGTGGAATCTTCCGCTCCCTATTCGATAGTTCTGATTCTGTACTTGGTTTTCTTCATTCGCAAGAATTTGGGATGGTATTTCCTTGATACCATCGCTGCCATTATGAAGGCATGTTCACTAGCTTGGATTCCCTCGTCATCATTTATATAGAACACCTTGTGTAGGGGATTGCACCCACGCTCCTTGTTGGCAGAGTAGCGGCAGGGCACACTCTCCCAACTGAAGAACATGACAGAAGTATGCCGATGTCGGCCCTTCGTTTTCATGTGTCTTCATCTCGACCTTCTCGAGCTTCCACTTCACGTTTCCAGGAATCTGCTACGCAGAGCGCCGTTGAAACAGATATTGAAGCTCAGCGGGAGCGGTTGGATTCCGAGCTCGTGGTAGCCATTGAAAGAACACAATCGGGCTGATAATGGATGTCTGGAAAGCTGGGTTGGCGCTTTAACCTTAGTTAGATTGTAAATTATTGTCTGTCTTCCTTCTTGATTATCGTACCTCCGCTACTTCATTTTCTAGAATATCTATATCTCTGTAATCTTCCTCCCTTCGAATCTTCATGTTTTTCTCGATACTCCAATGTACGACGTCACAATCATCGATGACACGGAACATCGTCCGAACACAAAGCATTAACCTCTTACCCACCCCAACCTCATCGACAGCACGTCACAACCTCGTCTCGCCGTATTATATGGTTCAACGAAATGAGTCATCCTCAATACCGACTCTACCACAGTGAATGTACCCATTACATGATTGCCCTCACCGTCAACGGCCCCGGCGGAAGATGTGGAGGTCGCGTATCGCTGACGTGGAGAAGCACGTTGTATTTATTATCTCAAAGCAAGGTAGCCCGAGTGTATACGACATGCATGACACCAAATACCAGACTTGCGGATATTAAATTAACATAAACAAAGAATTCATTGTCCCATCTTCGTATGTAGTCTCCCGCTCCCGACACTGTCTTCCGATTTCCTCCAGCACCTCTCATCGAATACACCGTCTCTAAGCCTGACCCGAATGATCTTGCTTCCAACCCAGACTCTACACCCTGGACTTTAAATT